ATAACAAGTTATAAGTATTGACTTATACTTATAAAGTCATGTAGTGAATGTGTTTTTTTTTAATTTGTTTGTTTATCTGTATAAAATATTAACACAAGAGTTCGGAAGTTCTTAAACTTGTATAAGGTCTACTAATGGTAATATAATATTATAATATCGTCAATAGTCAATATCGAAAATTATGTTCAGTAGACCTTTAGTGATTTGAACAAGATGTCTGTACTGTAGCGCTTTAACTGGACAGAAGCTACTAGTTCGAAATTAAATTCGTACGTCCATGTACATTTTAAAATTAATAATCTGCTTAACAATTCACACTTCAGAAAGAAATTATTTAATCATTAGAAAAAAAGTTCCCGTCGTGTTAGGACAGCTGTTATAATTATTTAATTGTAAACTTAATAATAGTTTTAAAAAATGTAAGCCATTTTAACATTTGACTAGATCTCCAGATCTCCGCCTATATGACGTAGGTACATTTACCGGCTACTGGCTACTATATATACACATGTTATTTATATACGCGGGGAAAGTGTATGAACTCTACTGTATAATTGTGAATATAATATCTGTATATATTATAAGATTATAGTATTATTATTATTATTATTATTATTTATTATGTATACATACGCGACTATTATCATTATTATACACACAAACATAATATACATAAATATATGATTTATACATTACGCATGTACGATCGCTCGCCCATAACGTAAATTATAAACATCACTGCGAACGCGTTTGACGACGACGTACTTAAGCGACGCCCCGAGGGTTAACGTCCCGACACGATATTATATTCAGATTTCAGACATACACGCGGGAGGCGTATACACACCACGACGTCTAGTCGTGACGTATAATAAGTTTGTGCATTATATCATGTAGGGATAGATAGTAGTGTATTATATTGTTACGTATATTACTCGATCGCATAATATCATTGTCGTTAGTGTGTTCATAAATATTTTGTGTGGGTACGTTAAAGTGGGTAAAACACTAAATTATAATTATAAATGTTCACGTTATATTGATGAACAACTCGAGAGCAAAAAGTCAAAGTCACATGTTTCATCATCAAATACGTAATATTAATAATATCCAGCGGTGCTAGGGTTCCGGAATCGATAAGACCGTCGCCACCAAATAAATGTATGACTCAAAAGTGCATACAGCATAAGTTTATAATGCCAATATTGCTACAGAACACGTCTTAACTCTATTAGTTGTTAATAATATAAAATATATTGGCACAACTCTTAAGATATTGAAGATGTACAAAAAAATTAGCCCCCAAAAATAATTTTCCTCTAAAAAAAAATGTAGTACCTACTAATATCCACTACCTATATTTATTGTAATTTAAGTATCGGATTTACCACAGAAACTTTTTATAAAAAAAATTGTATTGACTAAGTTCAATAAGTTTTACCAGCATGAAGGTTTTTAACTCCGCTAAAATTATTTTCGAAAGCAAAATTTTGATTTTATACATCGTACCTAATGAAATGTACAACTGCGTAAATTAGTAATTATAAGTGTTCCAACCTGTAGTTTATATAATTATATGTTGTATCAGTTAGCAGGTTTTACATTAAAAACTTAAAACGTATAAAAATGTCTAGTATTTATAGTACCTGTGCTGATTTAAGTAAGTATATCAATAAAGCTATTAACTTTTTACATGCTAAGTAATAAGTATAACCAACAAATCTAAGGTCTCAAAATCAGTTATTTTAAAAACTTATAGGAAGCGGTGAGATAACTAAAAATCTAAAAAGTAAAAAAATAAAGAGTTCAGTAAAAAAGTTGGCAAACACTAAGCTATACCGTCGTATAGTTGTAGAAATGTATACTCGTATAGCTGTATCTATATATGAGATTTAAGTAGGTAAGTATATGCCCATTTAAATACGGTTCATACCACGGCAATGGCATTTATAGTTATTAGTCATTACTCATTACATATTTACACATTAGGAACATGTGGTCGCTGCAACGATTTTCGTGGGTGGTAAGTGGTAACTGGTAACTGGTAAGTACTTATTTAATACCTATAGTACCTACATACCTATATAGGTACAACAAGTATATATTCAACTAGAATAATATAATATTAATACGCGCTTAACATCTGATCAAACGTCGGTTCAGTGGTTACGAAACAATATCTATATAATACTTATCAGTTATCAGAGCTATTACCCTTGAGTATAAATGTATTATGTACTTTAGCAAGTACAATATAATATGTATAGTGACATTTAAACATTATAAGTTATTACTTTATACGATTATAGTAGTCATTATCATAGTCATCAACATCTATAACACAAAAACCTAACTTTATAATTTTTAAACTTAACTCATCAATGACTTTATCTTGTATAATTTTGATATTCCAATGACATGTCTGCAATAACGCCGGGTTAGACTTGTCGGATTTTATGTAATTTATTCTATTATATCCAATTTAGATCGTTCGGCTAGTTAGACAATAGCCATCCTAATTATTATTATAGCTCAAGCAGTAAAGCCTAAAATAATGTTGAACGCATAACATTATAGACGTATGGTAGGATAATTCATCAGGCATGCTCAACCCCATTTTTTCATTTAATAATGGTTTTTTGCGATCAGATTTTTCTTGAGATTTTTGATATTACTTAAAGAGTCCTGTGACAATACAAATGAAACCCCCTGTTTTTACTGTGAATTATTAAGGCGATATTTTCCAAAAACATATTGATGTATTTAATTCAAAATTCTAACGAGTAGTTTTTTAGTTATAAAATGTTTTAATAATAATTTACAAAAATATAAAATAAACACAATATTGGATATATACAGTATTTATTATTCACGGACCAATTTTAAAAGTTATATATATTGATAAATTAATATAAATTGGTTAAATTTTCGAATTCTCATCGTCGGCTTCCCATAATGTTCCAAATCCACCATCATGTACCTATTATTGTCACATTATAACTTTCGTTCCATGTAAAAACTAATTCATATTAATTAATTAAAAATGTACATTAACAACTATTTTAATGTATTTAATTAATATAATATACAGTAGACAGTAGACGGACCAAAAGGAGGACGTCATTAGACGTATAGGGAAATAATTGCTTGGAAAGCTTGAATTGTTTATAATGGAGTTGGTTTGGAACAGCTTCTGAATTGAGCACCATAATTGGTGGCCCAAATTGGTCTTAGAAATAATTTGAAAATAAGAAGTTTATTATTTTAAAATAGAAGTTTGGATTTTAGGTACATCTTAAAAATTGTAATAAGTGCGATTGAGCATTTAATGTCTTTCTTTTTAATTTTAAATAAAGACCAACCTATATGGTTAGTCTCTTATCAAAATTAATACCAAGATATTCGACTTGATATGAAGGGAATATGAATTCCTTGGAGGCAGCAAATGATGGATGTAGTTTTTTTTGTTGAGAGTAAAAGGATTTATGTGAATTTGGCCTCGTGTTGTTTTTAATTTTCCGGTTTGATAAAAAAAGTAACAACTTCTTATATTATAAGGATAAAAAATAGTAAAAATAAACATTCAAACATTTATTTTTGTGATAAATTCAAACCATATAAAATTGAAAAGAAAATATTTTCAAAAACAAATACTTTTCGAGAAAATGAGTGTTTAATATTAAAATAATCACCCTGTATAGCAGATAGCTGTTTTTTACCTTGATAACATGATTATGATTTATGACATACAATATAATTAATATAGTTGTTAATTTAAGGTCATTTCATTTCACTTCCTTAGAATCCTTAGCCGAATGAAATAGCATAATAGGTATATAAAGTGATAGAATTTAAGAAATATTGACATAATAGTCACCTTTCCCCCCCTTTTGAAACCGGGAACGGGTGGGAACTGTTTAGCACACCCGAGATGCCACCCGAGATATTGGCATAATAGTCACCTAATTTATAGAGTTAACCAACTGTTTATATAGATTAAATAATTATATTTAAATAATGATTTGAAGTATGTAAATTTTACGTGCGTGTACATTGAGAAAAAAACACAATTCTCAAAAAACCGTCAGTCGATCAGTAAATAATAAATTATGTTCATACAAATATTATTTATAGTACATATATTTTTAAATCAAATTTCATTATTTTAAAATAATATTTAGTTTCAGGATATATGATTTAGATTGGTTGCTTGCAATATCTACAACTTTGTGAACTATACTAAAAACGTTAATGCTCCCACTATATGAATAGATTTTGTGTAATCTAAGGACTAAAATAGTGAGACACTTATGTAGTTATGCTGCAGTACCTACAGAATTGTTTACAAAACCAATTACCAATGACTTATCAGCTAATTTACGGTTAACAAAACTTTACTATTAAATTTAAAACAGTGATCCACTCGACTCATATATTCGTAAGGTCACTTAATTAATTTATTTATTAATATTAATTATAGTACAAACATCACGACACCGAAAGTATAAAATATGCATAATATAATACAACAATACGTTAGTGTTATAAGTTTAAAACTTAATGATTTAGTGTAACGATAACTAAAATATAGGTTTAATGCGTTTTAAGGGTTGTTTTTACAATTGTACTATTTTATACTTAGGTCTTAAGTACAGCAAATATTGTTATGAATTAAAATAATATTTAAGTCATATAGGTCAACCGAATAAATGTTACTTTTACTTTTCATTTATAGATATTGTTTTAGCATAGAAAACTCATTACGTGTGTCACTGTGTCATGGTAGATAGTAAATACTAACTTATAGACTATAGTAATAATAACTATAGGAATATACTTATAGAGTAAGATTATAGTTAATGTAAATAATATATATTATATACCTAGGTAAATACTTTAGTGGTTGCCAGAATTTTTATTTTTATTATTTATTGGTAATAAACGATTGATAGGATGACTAAAATTTGAACTTGCGTCCTAATCTATTTAAATCTACAAACCGTGCACAAAAACAACGACGAGTATGAATCAAAATGTAGGTAATTCCAAATCCCTGCAATAAAATATTAAAATTCCTTAAAATACCAACTTAATAGGTACCTAGTTATAATGTTTGATATTACAATATTACATTATACATTTATACATTACAGCTTATTGGTGAAGTTATTACGAAGTATAACATTTTTATGTATGGGTGCTCAATGCTCATAATGAAATAAACTAAATAATTAATAGGTAATAAAATTGTCACAACGACATACCTAATTAAATATTTGACTAAATCTACAAAAAATTGTGATCGACAGCTCGTCAGCGTCTCTGATGTTATAATAAGCGTAGGTATAATATATATAGGTACAGGGGCGTGCCTAGAAATTTTTTCGGGGGGGTTTCTATCTCCTGACCTAGCCTAATCAAGCTCCACATATATATTATATTATGGTTAACTTTTATTAATAATAATTTTTATTTTTCGAGGGGGGTTTGAAACCCCCACCCCCCTAGGTACGCCCCTGTATAGGTAGGCACTTACACATAAATTATTATTAAAATAAATAATAGTAGGTTTATAGTTACCTGCGTGGCTGCGTGTGTTTGGTATATTAAAACGCGTACAGGTAGGTAGTTATAGCAGGTGGTACTCGGTATTATATGCTATATTGGCTGTAGACTCGTCACGGTGTATTCAGTCACTGCGCGTAGGTACGTTGATTTCACTTTCTAATGGTCGTGATCCTCTTCCTATGATGTAACACGCGCGGTCCGTGCAACAGGAGGAGTCTGCATATGATGTTTGATTATCGTCGATATGCATAATATTACTGTAATAATACGCACGCGACATCGTATATTTTCATATTCAGTACCGCGTTATTATAATATAACCTATATTGCTACACATTATACTATGTATATTATAATAAACGCATGCGAAAATAAATGCAACCGTTAATATTATTACTAGGGCTGGGATTTTGATGCAAAGGCATCTATTTTTCTGATGTTTTGGAACGTTGATCCGTAAGTATAAAATGTGTTTTGGGTGATACTGATTATTTTAAAGTATTTTTTATTTTGCATTTTTTTTGCATTTTTTGACAAAATTAATTATTAAATGCATTTTTAGGACATTTTTTATGTTTTTAGTGCATTTTCTTGGTTTTTAGAGCATTTTTCATAATTTCTTCATAAAATGAACGAAAATTGTTGCGATTCACAAACAACTTTCGACAAACTGCTGACGGTACGAATAATAAATTATATATAGTATCATAAATTCATATATTTCATCATAGCTAGGGTTTCCCCGTAAATTATCACCGTTAAAAAATTTAATTTTTTAAATTATTATCTTAGAATGAATGATTAAGAAAACAGAAGCATAAAAAAAACTAAAGAAGTAACAACGTACAATAAACAAACAAAAATAAATTACTGTAGTATAATTTAAATTCTTTTTCTAATTTTTAACCTATAATAAATATAATTTAAATGCATTTTGTTAGTGCATTTTTTGAGTTTTTTAAGTCATTTTTGCATTTTTTTAAGGGCATTTTTTGAAATTTTTTAGGGCATTAAAATCCCAGCCCTAATTATTACGTTATATTATGTATAAAGGTTGATTCGTTTAGTTCACTTAAGAGACACTAATCATCTCAGAAAACAATAAAGTTTTTGAAAATATTTCTCTTGCATAATTGAAAGTCGTAAAATGACAACGAATATTTTTTATTTCATACTCCGAAGTAGACATAGGTATTATTCGGAGTGTTTCAAACTACAAAAATCAAGTTTGGTTTTTTTAATTAAGTACCTAGTTTATTATAGTGGGTACCTATACAATAAGTATTTAAAGCTTAAACGAGTGGAGTAGTGGGCCAACATTTTGAGGGGTACTTGGTGTATCGCTTCAATCCACTCATCTAAACTTTAAAATGCAAATACTTATTGAGTTTTAACTCATAAACTGGCAAACTGCTCATCCAAAATTCCATTTTTATTAACTTTAAAGTACCTGCTCCAAAAAATTTTCTCTTTTGAAGTAAGAATTGAAAATGCGTATTGTCATTAAAAAATTAAAAAAACATTCAAGAACGATAACGATAAAAATAGTAAAAAATTGTTTTTAACGACCTAAATAATTATTTTAATGAGTGTCGTATGTTAGATGAATCAACCGGTACATGTCATTAATAGTATGATTAATCCACTCATAATTATAAATTGTAATACATTTATACAATTGACACAACGGTTGGTTAAATACCTTCAAATTAAAAATGCTTATACCGTATGGAATTTTGAATGCAATGCAAACGATACATCGTATAATCGTGTAGGCGCAATACGTAACAGATGTAAGGGGTAGTACCACGTTGGAGAATGTCAACTAATTTTTCAAATTTAAAATATTCGTACAGGTAAAAAATTAAAAAATAGAAGGGAAATTAAGTTCAGGTTATTTTACGAATTATTCAAGAAACATATAACTAAGTATTTGTAGATAATATTCTTATTGTTGTTAGTGAAAATTACAAACCGTTTTTACATCTAAAAATCAGTTTTTGAAAATATTTTATCACACAAAATAACACATAATGTTGTCATGTATACTCTTGTACGGTGTACCTATGGTATACTTATAAATCATGAAATAAGAAATAATCCCAATAGATTGTGTAAAATACCATACAAATTAACTATATGTTGACAATAAACAACACGTATAGTGTACCCCAAAGCAGCAACTTGGGGTGGGGGTGGTGCAGTCTATATATATACTTTTGTATATTTAGAATATATATGTTCAATCCACTCAGCACCATAGAAATTAAAATAAAAGTTGAGTGTTTATCCCCAGTAAGTTTTAATGATTGTTTTGAATTAGAATTTCGCCAAGATCAAAAATATGTATAAGTTATTTTGCAGGCAGTTTGAAATTCATAAAAGTTTTAACATTTATATTTTATATACCTAAGGTTTGAAAATTTAATACAAGATTCCTCAAAAGTTATTATTATTACGGAGATTAAAAAATTAGTTGTGAGTTATAATTCAATAAAAGTTAAAATTTTGCCGAAATTAGATATTTTTATCTTAATTCTATTCCTGCGTAAAATAATAGTTTTTCATCAAAGGTTAAGTATTTTGTTATGATTCAAATTTTAAATTTTTCCCTAATGTCTATTTTAGCATTTTCTATACATGTGTAATTTTCAAAATTGTCTGACTCTTATAGTGCTATTCTTAGACCTTTGACATTTTTTTTTCACTAAATATCGATAAAAAAATGTTTGCAGGATTAAGAAACTTGAAAATCAAATACAAGGTTTTCACAAGTAGTTCATACTTGAACCAATATATCTGAAAAATATAAACCATGTGTTCACCAATTTAGGGAACACTGAATTTCTCGGCTGGATTATGTTGGAATAAATCGAATTTTTTTTTACAAGGTTGTGGTATATAAATACACATTTTCAGATAAATTTCAAATTTTTAAACCCTTCGGTACGCGCATGCACAATGCAACTTGCTTTTTTTTAATAGCAACAAGTAGTTTTGATACCAAATTCGAATAGACTGAATTTTTTTAAGTCATTTTAACCAATTGACCATGGCTCTAAAACCAAAATTGACTGAATGAGAGCCATTCAAATTTCAATGAATAATACATTTTTATAATTCACTATAAAATGCATAAAACCATTTATAATTATTTATTATTGGTTACTTTTTGAATATCTAAGTATTTTTTTTTTTTATACGTGTTATAAATAAGATTAACATAATATGGATATAAAATTATTCAATCAATATGTTAATCTTATTTATAACATGTATAAAAATAAAAAATACTTTAAGATATTCAAAAAGTAACCAATAATAAATAATTATAAATGGTTTTATGCATTTTATAGTGAATTATAAAAATGTATTATTCATTGAAATTTGAATGGCTCTCATTCAGTCAATTTTGGTTTTAGAGCCATGGTCAATTGGTCAAAATGACTTAAAAAAATTCAGTCTATTCGAATTTGGTATCAAAACTACTTGTTGCTATTAAAAAAAAGTAAGTTGCATTGCGCATGCGCAGGGTTTAAAAATTTGAAATTTATCTGAAAATATGTATTTATATACCACAACCTTGTAAAAAAAAATTTGATTTATTCCAACATAATCCAGCCGAGAAATTCAGTGTTCAGTAAATTGGTAAACACACGGTGTACATAATTTTGACAAAATTAGACATCTTAAAAAAGAAGAATGATTTTAGTTATTTAGGTAGTTATATAATTTAAAAATATTATTCATTGGCACTTGGGATTTTCAACTCCACACTTACTATACTGCAGAATAGTTATCTACCGTTTTTATTTTAACAATAAAAATATTTTGGATCAATGAATTTAAAATAGTTGATAATGTATTGGTTACCTATACAAGTCATTAAATACTGCATGCCTACAGACATATAAAACATAATTTTATATATAATAATTAAATGAATAACTTTTTAAACATATTTACTCACAGTTGTTCCTGGATTCTTTCCATTTTTATTTTAGTAAGTATCAATATTCATTAATTCTTAAGCATATTTGTTATTATTCATTGACATTAATTGCAGTTTATGTTTCCATAGACCATACTGTTATTATATCTAATTACATTTTTTTTTTATGTTGTACACAATGATCTTTTCTATACTTGAATTGTTTTAGATAAAAATAACCCAAAGAAAAACTAAAAAAATGTATGTATGAGGAAAGAAAAAAAAGCACATTTTATTTATATTAGTTATAATTTATAATAAATTACCATAATGCTAACACAGTTTTAAGATGTTACAAATAATGATGAAACTTTTATACACAAGTCAATTTACAACATAGTTGAATACAATTATTTCAAAATGAGTAGCACAATGGTTTTTAACCTTGAATCAATCAAAGGTTAAAAACATATGGCATAGCATAATATTATACTTGCAATGTTGTTTTATCAACACTAAGTATAATTTTATAATAAAAAAGTTCAGTTTGATTATTATTAAGATAATTTCTGTCAGATCATACAATAAATATGTTATAAGCAACTAAAATAATCGTATCAGTTCAAAAAATGTTAACACAAGTTTTAAATAATTTGTTCACACATGAAGTTCAGTAGATTAAATAAATTATATTAGCTAAAATTAGTTCACATTGGGAAAATGTACGTACATTTTTAAAGACTTGTGATAAAAAAGAAGAAGAAGAATGTGGTCGTATACCATGTGTTAAAATAATTCCAGTTCAACAATTAATTTTGGGTTACTTAAAATAATATTGCTATAAAAAGTAACTATTTAATTTGTTGATAGATTAAGCATTTATCAAACAGTATTTTAGTTTAAAAATAAAGTATTCAAACGAATTAATAAAATTAGGTATATATAGTTAATAATATATATTATTTTTCAAATAGTTGTTATTTTGTATCGTTACTAACACCACAGACATTTCTTAAAACAAAATTAAAAAAAACCTTAAATTATATAGGTAACTAAAGAAAATTGTACAACTGGGTTGGCAAGAAAATAAAATTAAAAACATAAGAACATGCAAAGAAAAATTAAAATTGGATATTACTCTTTAATTCAGTAAAATAATATTATTATAATATATTATATATATCTGACATATATTCATAAAATTAATGACTGTTTATTTTTAAATATAAATACTGTAAAAATACTAGATAGTTAACTTTTTAAATACTTTATTTAAAAAAATATGTTTAATTTGAGTATTAATGATAATCATAAAGTAAATTGAAATACTATAAAAAGTAATGAAAATGCTACAATTTTATTTAAATAGGAATTTATTAAATGTTATAACTTTTATATGATTGTATGACAGTGTAAATTATAAATTATTATGCACGTATGACTTATTACTTTACTTAAATAAATTGTTTTTATTATATAAAATATAATCAATATTGCACACATGATGGCAATATTCAGAAATATATTTGAGATTCAGCATAATGACTTAAGTTATAAATTTTAAGAAACAGTATACATAATAAATAAGATGTTATATTAAAAGGTATAGAGACAGTAATACCAAATACACATCTTAGGTACATTTAATTATTTTATAATTGATTAATTTAGGCCAAGTTACCTATTGTAGGTTTTATACAAAATAAGATGCCAATTGTGCCATTTTATCTTTAGGCGGTTTTGGCTTACCTTTACCCTTGTGCTTAGCTTTCCCTCGACCCTGGCGACTATTAAAAACTGGCTTAGATGCTTGAGCTCTAAATTTCTCGACTAAATATCCAAAGTCTTCACAGCAAAATAAGCAACCAGTCATCTCAATAAGATCACGGGGCAGTCGAGTGCGTTCCTAAAATGTTTATTTATTATTTAAATTATATTTCAATAAAATATATTATAAGTTTAAAAAGTATAATGCACCAAAATAATAACAATAAAACAAAAGGTATTAGATTAGAAATACCTCTTTATACTCAATTTTTAGAAGCTGAGCTCCACAATCGCATTCCTTACTCTCTTCCACAGTTATTTTGTGTGCATCCTCAAACAAATGGAATATAACATCACACTTGTTACAGCCAACTTTCCATTTAGGCCCAGATGATGGGTCTAATACTAACACTCCGTTATCACATTGCAAACAACTAGCAATACCATTAACATAAAATCCCTGTGGACAAGTTGGATGAAGACACAGATTACAACCGCTATGCTTTTTCATATCCCTGAATGCTGGCTGGTTATAACAATATGGACATAATGGGTAACTGCGACCTTTATTTCCAGTTGACCAAGTTACCAACTCAAAGTCATCTAATGGACATTTTAGTTCCTAGAAATAATACATTGTTTAATTAGTATTTTCTTTGAAAAAACTTAATTACACAACAAATTTACTTTATAAATTCTTATATTTCCATTTTGGGGCAAATTATATGTTTCATCACAATGTGAACAATGCAGTCGGGATGGTTTTGCTATGATAAGTTTCATATAACGTCGACATTTTCCACATCTATAAAAATAAAGCAAAGGTTATTTATTATGATTATTAAATTCTATTTCAATTATAATGTACTACAAAAAGTAAAAACATTTACCTTGAAAGCGCCTTTCCACTAGCAGCTAAAGTAGTAAATGAAACTTCAAACAGAGAATCCATAGCTTCAATAGATTTCACAAAGTATAAATACTTTTGTCGAAAAGCCTCAATAGTCTGTCTAAGAACACGATCATAATTTGCTTCACCTTTGGCTATAAGATTCAACTGGTCTTCAATAGTAGAACGCATGGTTGGTTCCACCAATTGTTTATCAATCTTCATAAATAGTAAAAAAACATTAAAAAATATAAATATAAATTATAAATACATAATGCTAGTAATGTATACAAATTAAAGCAATTAATAATTAATTATAGAGAATTTAATTATTTTTCATTTGTTTCAGATATGTACATTAAATAGCATTATATTCATATTATAAAATACCTAAACAATTACAAAAAATATAAATAAAAATAATAAGACAGTAATATATTTATAATTTTAACACAAACCTTTTGATATCCATGCACTAAAACTATACCCAAATTGGTAGGTACAAGTCTGCGTCCAGTAGCAACAGTTACATAATTACGCTGTGATATATTGTTAATATGAACAGGAATAGATGCATCGGTTCCAATCCCATGTTTTTCCATCATTGATATTAGTTCAGACTCAGTAAGGTAACCTGGAGGACTCGTCATGTGATCTGTAAGCCTAGCCTAATATAGAAATAATATAGTATTAAAAATTTTTTTTTTAAATCATAATTTTTATATCAATAATCATCGTACATCTTTGATATTAAGCTTTTCATCACGTTCAAAATTAACTGCCAATTCATTTTTAGGTAATGCTTTCCATGGTGTAATGGCAGTAAATCCGGCATCAATTAAGGTTCGCCAATTATATGTGAACATTTCTGATCCAATTTTAAAAGTGACAGTTTTAGAGTAATATCTACAATCTTTTGAAATTGTAGCAATGAAATGTCGAACAATAAAATCATAAAGTTTCCAAGAGTCGCCATCTAATTCATTACGAGATGCTAACATAGTGGGTGTAATAGGAGGATGATCACCACAGTCTTTGCCATTTCTAGGCCTGGTTAAACCATTATTAAGTACTTGACGTATTTCTTGACCCCATTCATTGCTTTTTTGGAGAGTTCTCATAGCAGGTCTGAAATTATAACATAAAATAATATAAAATGTATGTATTTAAAAATGATACATCTAAATGTATTAATATAGTATATATTCTTACAGCAATTCAAAATTATCTGAATAATGAGATGTTTCTGTTCTGGGATAACTAATGTAACCTTGGGTATAAAGACGCTCGGCTAATTGCATTGCATGATGGGGACCCATTCCCAGTCCAGTACTTGCGGCTCGCATAAGTTCCACTGAATTCAAAGCTAAGGGACGTTGTTTTGATTTTTCTTGTTGAGTTACAGAGACAACACTGAAAAAATGTATAATGTATAATTATTATTAACAGCAGTTTATTTGAGCATACGTTGCTGTTTGTTGTTTTTTCAATGCTTGAAGTAAGCTGTTTGAAGCATCACGTTCAAAACATCGACCCTTTTCCCAATTAAGAACTACATCTTGTCCCTCTTTTGATTGAATTGTAACCTAAATACAAGCGTTTACATATACAACTGTATTATGATACTAAATATTTGTATTTTCTTACTTGTATCACCCAATAAGGTTCAGGTTTGAATCTTCGAATTTCATCATGTCGTTGAACACAAAAGCCTAATGTTGGTGTTTGACAAGGACCGTAAGATATTAATGAAGAGTCCAAATCTCCATATTTTCCCTAAATTTAATGAGTAAAAAATAAATAAAATAAAAAAATAAAATAAAGAATTCATTTTAAAAATACTTGAAAATATTTAGTTTGAAAACGAGTGAATGAACAGCCAATACGAAGATCAAGTTCTTGTCTAGCATCAACACTCATTGCTTCATTACGATTAGGAAAATCTAATTTTTCCATAGCTCCTTTAATATCTTTTGCCGTAATTGCCGAAAACTTTGCCCTCCAAATCCTCTGCAAACAATTAAAAGTTTTATAAGCATAATTTGATAAAATACATACAGTATAGGCCAGTGATGTTTATTCATAAAGTTAACATCATAAAACAATAATACTTATACACTTTACACTCTCCAAATATATATATATTTTTTAATAGTTTAAAACTAAAATTATACTTACGTTCACTTCACCAGAACGTTTCATAGAACTTTTAACAGCATCAATCACTTCAAAGCAAATATTTTCACCTTCTTTATCACAATCGAGCCACAATATTAAAAAGTCTACACCACGTGCTTCGGATGCCAACATTGCTGGAATACGCAACTTAGGAGACGCTTCTTTCTTTTCAGTTGGGCAAGAAAAAAGCTCTTCCTATTTGAAAAATGAATAATATTAAATTAACTTAAAATCTTATAATGATGTATCTAATTGCTTATTACTGGATCAACTTTATCCCAATTGTTGAATTTACTGTTGAAGTCTAAAGTCATAACATGTCCACAGACAGAAGTCATTTTAAATATTACTGGTTCCCCAAAAAGTGTTCCTGACCATTCATGTACAGGACATGCAGAATTCATACCTGTAAGAACGTACCATTTTATCAATTAAAAAAAAATTTAATTAAAATTCATACATTCTAAAAAGCTAAAATTTATTTTAGAAAATATACAATTTAGATTCAGTCTACATAGAATATAGATGTACACAATATATTTTATGTATAACTATAGTTATCATAACTATAAACATAAACAGTTACTTTTAATGAAACAAAATGTTCAATGCAATGAAAAGTATTTGTTAAATAATAAGATAACAACATTAACCCATCATCACAACCAAGATTGATAATACACCACAACTATATAGGTACAATGAACAAATTCCTTGAATGCTTTTTTTCAAGAAATATCTTTGTAACTATTTATTTAATTTGTTTTGTAACTATCATACTGTAATATAATAAATTTTATCTGACATGGTCAATCATTTTAAATGTTAAAGCATAGCTCAAATCATAGGAACCTAACACATATTACAAATTTATGCTAGAATCAAAACCAAAAATGAATCAAACTTTTATTAATGAACAAATTATTTGGTACATTTAAAAAATAATAAAGTAACTGTAAATACAACACACACATTAGGTAAATATTTCAAAACAAAACATGACTAAAAACGTTTTAAATTATTCGACGAATAATTAGGAAGACGCAACTGCATAATGTCGACTGTCAACTCCATTTTATGAATATTTAATTTTTAATAATCAACTTACTTTTTCTCGAATTACTGCGTCCATTGCTCAGTATGTTGGCGAGTGAAGAAGCCAAAGAAGGTTTTTCCGCCACCATGAGAGCGGTCTTCATATTTACGAATTATTCGAAGCGTAATAGATGAACCAATAATGCAATATCACCGACAAATTATTGGACGAAATGTTCATCCATCTGCTAGGTTAACGTCAAATATGCCGCAAACAATAGCATTTGACGCATTCAAGTGTTCGGATGACCGGCATTTACCGTGTTGCACGCGAGTCAACTTCACGGCAACTATTTATTAAAACATCGAATCAGCCGAAAGGGTTTCACAGCGACACTCGTGTCACAGATCTAAAGTGTAAGACATTTTTTTATTTTGAATTCTACAATTTATTATTGTTTTACACCGAAACAAGTAACAACCAAACCAAACAAATTGATAAAAAAAAATGTAATCAATGCACATGTTTGACGCATTACAGTCTGGCCAACAATCGCGGATTGTGACAAGACTTCTTTTGCGATTCCCTTCTTTTACGGTGATAACGTCTGGGTCGGTACCCATATTCTAAGACCGTGGTCGGTACAATTCGGCCCCGTGATAAGAATTCGGAATTGAAATTCCCATAGGCCTCATACAGTCATACTTAGGTATAATAGTGCTATATTGCTATTTATTTTAATTAAATATGGATAGGCATCTGAGATTTTTTGAAATTGTATTAACTTTGTATTAAAATGTCCAGAACTAATATTCAAATCTTCAAATTCCGCAATAAAGCTAATTTTCTCTTCCTCTTAGCCGTCCTTGAATTTCAACTATGAATACAATACATAATATTTAAGTACAATATTATATAGTAATATAAAAATGAATGAACATTAATATGAAATAAAAACAATTTAAAAAGCATAGACCTAATACAACATCTAAGTAATGTTTTTTTTGAAATATAAAATGAATGTTTTTTTTATGTCACTAGAATGTTTCTACAAAACATACAAAGAATATTTTCTGAATGACGGCAGTTATAAGCATTTGCAATCGTATACATATTACAGTAACGTAATTACAACCTAAAATGTGATGTTCTATTTCCATGTTTCCATAAAACATCGCTTGAATATCTATCGAATATAACTTTGCACACTGGGGAACCTATTACAACTAGAATAAAAAGAAAATGCAAAGTACAATAAAAAGGCAGGGCCCCTTACAAGGGAGGGCTGTTGAACCTAGGGTTCAGAGGACCGGATAATTTAGGGGCCCGCCGAAATTAATATTTGTAATTTTTGAATATTTGAAAATATTGATATAAAGGGCAAAAAAACATTTATAATGCAGGAGGCCAACATTTGATGTGGTGGGGCTGTATAAAGGACGTCATATATTTTAATATTGTAACTACAAAAAAAAAAGGTTGCTATAGTTATTATTTTTTAAGTACAATTTTTAGTTTTTACCATAAGCTTTTTAAGTTAATAAAAAAATAAATTGAACGTTAGGTATAGAGAAAGAATTTGAAGAGTGCCACTTTCTACATTGTCTACACGAGCAGTCTATATAGTATAATAGTTCTTTTACACACAATCAAATTGTTGCTCCTTCAGGAAGTGGATTATACTATTATTATTATAAATACACGTTATATTCCATTCTGTATATTTGCAATGGTAATTTTAAGCTCAAAGTACGAGTTTATTATTTGTGAAGTGTGTATATCAATATCTCACGCAATGTCGTTGTGAGACTCTGAACTTGCCAAAAGCTAATAATGAAAACTAATTAAAAATAATAAATTTATGTAAAGACAGAGATTTTAAAGCCATAATGTAATATTGAAAGAGTACCTATCTACTTACACAAGTAGAATGTCAAATATTATCGTTTATCAGATGGCTCGCCGAACAATCGGAAAGGTAAATATTTGATATTTTAGAAACCAAATAATTTATTAGGTGGGTATTCAAACTAGACAAAATCAAAAAAATCTCAACTGAAGTATTAAAAGATTGTATTATATATTCAAGTTTTTTGATAGAGTAAATATTTTATATCGACAATAATTTTTAAAAAAACTATCATAAAACTCGACATTTTCTTATCCTTATAATTGTATAAATAGCTTAAAAATTGTAATTTCAAAAAATTTTGTTATTACTTGGAAATTGCTCGTATGAAACATTAGTAAAAAATTCACTAAACTGTTATATTTTAGAGTTACACTAAAAAACAAAATCAATTTTTTCGAAGACTGGTTTTAAGTAAAAATCTCAGTTTGTCCTTAAATTTTTGTTTGTTTTCCCAGCGCTTTTGAAAACTATTGGAAGTTTTTTACTTTTAGTCCCCCTCCCCTCTTCCTCAAAAGAACCAACTAGTTTCACTTTCATAACAGAAAAGATGTCGTTGAAGAATAACCTACGCATTTTTTCTGCATCAAAAGGTGATAACAAACACAAAAATTAAAAAATTAAAGATAAATCGCTATAAATCGTTATAAGCTCAGAATATAAAATATATGTACAATATACTAAACTACTAAAGTATAAAAAATTATTACATTTAGAACATCTATTAAATTAAACTTTACATTTTATTAAACTTACAAGTGTTTTAATTTTAAGAGTAATACATTTACAGATTATTCAAAATACCTAGAAAAAAAGTCAAGAGATAAAAAATCTCAAAATTTGAACATCTACAAATTACAATAGAAAATCTAATATTCGGTCCTTATTTTTTGAGAATATATATTAGGTACTTGATCTATATCTAAATAGAAATATCCATATGAATATATTAATGAGAGCGAGACGTAGTACAGATGATAATTGTCCATAAATCCATATTAAAAAAATGTTGGACCCTCAGGCTTTTTTTCAGTTAGGGTCTTGTATGTACTATGACAATATACATTTTTATTTAGGTAATTGGTTCTTTTTTTTTTCTAATTTTATTTTGTCATGGTGTACTGAACCAGATTTTAAGCTGTCGTAATGTTGAAAGAATCTCTCCGTGGTTAAATGATTTACAGCTGCAAGCATTGCAAATAGCAAATTGCAAATTTTATAATAATTTAAACTTCAGACTATGTAATATACCTATACCTACATATAAAAAAAATGATACGGGGAACCCTTTTTTAATTGACTTTAAACAAACATTTTATCATCCAAAAACAAAAATAAATAATGTAAAAGTAAAGAATTTCAAATGTCTATAAATATCCCAAAAAGTGACATGTTAGCTGACGCCTGACTATGATAAATAGGTACCTATATTTTTTTAATATTTCAAGTCTCTATTTCGCTATTCCTTTTTTTAATAACTGCAAGCAGTGCAAGCAAAACAAAGTTGTATTTAACCCTCCCCCTCCTCATTTAAGTAGGTACAAACTAGATCCATTTTTCTACCAAAAACCACCCATCAAAGTAAAATATTGAAGCATTTATTGTGTTTCAAACGTGATGACAAGTACACGAGTACACGACACACACAAATAAAAATATTACCGTACAACCTGCAATATACATAATACATATATATATATTGCTCCACTAAAAATCTAAAACTAAATGTTCATTTACTTAGACAAATAAATTAATCTATATTTTATGAACTTTGACCAATTACCTTTACGTAATGATCGTTGTTTACAACAAATAAAGAATATATACCTCGTACCTAATAGGAAGAAACAAAGTCTACATTTGTCTCTTGAACACATTATCAAATACACTATTAAAAAATAATTAATCTGTAAACAATTAAAGTTGTTTTTACCAATTTCGAATAACATATCTACATTTTATGTCTTAATTTAGTACCTATGCAGGTTAGGATATAATTTTTCTATATTTCATTGTTTGTTAAAACTATTCAAATTATGAGTATATTGTTCTGTGGACTAGACATTGTAAATAATTATACCTATTAATTATTGTTATTATTTATTTTATCGACAATCGTATAATAACAAATATGTTGTCTCTACTCTCTGCCCGTCTTACAAACAGGTAGGTTGGAGGTGCATATAAACAAATAAACAAAACATATCAAATTGTCCTTCACATGACGTTAAACAGTTTCTTGTGTTATTATTTATTAAGTTATTAGTAATAAGTTATAACTTATTAGTTATTACCAGGGCCAGGAACTTTATGCACTAAATAAAATGAAATAGGGTATAGATTATAATATGTATATGTGTATTGTGTAAACCAAAAAAACTAGAATAGGTGGCCGTAAAATGTGTAATTATTATTTTTTTCCTATAGAAATGGCAATATACATTTATCTATGTATATGGGAATAAACTCCAAGGTACTTATAATTATTCAAAAAACAATATTATACTAAATCTATATAGAATTTTATGTTGTTATGATAATTATTATTAAAAAAATATAAAATATTCTTTGATAGGTAGGTAGCCCAGGTAGGTATATATAAATAAAATCATTAAATATGAAAAATCGTTTTGATTTGGAAAAATATGCAAAAATACACCTTCATAATATATTTTTTATTCAGGTCGATTTGAGTTGTACTTCGTGTATACAGGTACCTAGCAACCCAGAAATTATGAAAATGAGCTGCAGTTTCCCGTGAAATGTATGAAAAATAGTGGCTGAAGCCTCAGGACCGCTTCATACATAAGTACCAAATACGACGGTTGTTATCAAACCTTAACATTGCCTAACTACAATAATTCATTAGATCTTATCGTCATTCGAAAAAAGTTCAACACACATCGAGTTTAAAAGAATTTCATTAAACCGACCGGGTATCTACCATAATATAGTATTGCACTATTACCTGAGACGTATTTTGTTTAAATACTTAAAAAACAAATCTCAATATTACGGATTTAGACAACATTATCGTGTTCATTGGTTTTCTTGTTATTAGGTAAGGTCACACTGTGCACGCAACGTCCTTGCCGTGACCTACACCCGAACTCCATAACAATATCATTGATTTTTCCCATACGTCGTTGCTACCCAGACCCAACCCACAATCTATTCCGTTTTCACTCTTCAGTTTCTGTAAAAGCTGGGCGGCTGCGAAATCTATCATTTTATCTTCTGCAGCTGTATCGCTCTAAAGTTTTTTAGTTCTACGACGGTGAAGAATACAAGTAAGTGTCATCCGGTTACCGTACAATAAATGTTTTGACATTAATTCATCTTAATTTCAATTGTGACCCATTTATTTCCCATAGTACCCTCATTTAAGTGTCGAGTATTACATTAATTGACTTTTCTGTTGAAAATGCTATAAATTCCACGAGTGTTTGAAATGAGAAACGACTCGTTGATTAAGGTTTGCCCATTGTTTTAAATTGATCTTAGATTTCGAGTCACATCCATATTACATGCACTCGATCAATGTATTTACCATACCCATAAGACGTGTTCGTGACCTTTGAATTTTGATTTGTCTATATGGCTATATCTAATACTATTTCTCTATTTGAGTCAATGCCACTGTTGTTGCTTGGCCTTTTTTCAAGTTCAAATACTTGTCAACTTGTAGGTCACAGGTATTTGTTGGCGTCTATTCAGTGTTTAGTGTATCACTGTATCAAAAAATAAATTTAAAAAAAATAATAAGTATTGTACTCTCAATAATATTTATCTAGGTAAATAGAATTACATAAAAGTTTTTGTAACTTTAATATATAAATAATAAAAATTTTTTTGTGGCTTAATTAAAATAAAACTGATAATTGTTACAAATGTATACCAGAAAATACTAAATTAAAAATCAAATTTGTTATTTTTTGTTTTTACTATTTGTATTTTGTATAATTCACATGACATTGTAAACTATTTAGATGATATAGGTGGATTTGTTTTATAACTTTTAGTATTCATATGAGTACATTAAAACCACGGAATAGATTAGATATATTCTGTGATACCTATAGGTACCAAACTACTTAACTAATAAATTTAAAATTTATCTAAAATATTATGCCTATTATAAATATAGGCAATATTTTATTTAGTCACAAAATAATATTTCTTATGTCAACAGATATAATTTTTTTATTCATTTATATTTATTTTTACATTGATGGCCTACCTACTTATTATTAATACAATTCAATTATAAATAATAATTTGTGAAATGTCTAGAATCTTATCTGTTTTAATTTAGATTATGACCTTTTAATAAAGACATTTATTAAAAATAAAATAAAACTTGATTGATGTATAGGCTATAATAATATGTTAACATTATTGAATGAGAGTTGCTTTGAGATCACCAAAATAAGTCCAACAATATAGCTAAAGGTCACCTTGTTGATAACCAGTAGTTGTTTGAAATATGTCAGTAACTCAGAACTCTATCAATAGTGAGTGTGTTATTAAAAAAAATTGTGACTTCGCTTAATTGTTTTATATTTTTCTATAACTCGAGCTTTAACTGTTATAGTTGCCTAAGTATAATTTATACTTATTCTATTATTAATAATTCAAAGTAAGTTTATAAAAGGTTTTACTCCTCTTTTTTGGTTTCCAGTTTTACATGTTATTGTGAATTATTCATTATTTAATTTATATATTATGTGTAATTTTAATGAAGTTGTTGGCTTAATTTTTATCATAGAATTAAGAGAAGAATTACTAAAATAACTATAATTTAAAATTTTAGAATTAATAATTATTTATTTCTGATAATATTATCTGGATTTTCTTATTTGGTATTTATCCGTATAATATAATGTATTATATTAATAATTTATAAAGAATTTATAAATTATAAATTTCTTTTTTTTTATTCTTGTGAAAATTAATCTTCTTTCTCCTAACAGTCCCAGCCATTATTTTAACTCTTTTAAATAATTCTATTATAAAATAAAATCAACAATGTCATTCAAATCACATAATATGTATAATATACAAAAGAATACATAATGAATGTACAGTAATATCTCAAGTTCTCCCTCATCTCACTTTATGAATTCTATCAATACAATTGACTTCATAATTTTTTTTTCTATCAACATGCCACTTTCATTGTATACATATAATTTATATCTACATTTTTTCACTCATTAATTAATATAACTTAAAAATTTAAATACGTATAAAAATGATGAACAAAATGTTTGTTTTAAAATATTAGGTCTACTTATTATTATATTAAATGATTTGTATATATATATTTAACTGCTAATTGATTTTTTCATATAATCTGATAATTACAAAATGAAGGCAAATTCTAAATTAAAAAAAATCATTCAGTTATATACCTTCTTTTTTTTTCCCCCGTTTAAACCGACAGCAGAGGAGGATCTGTTTGAACACTACTACTCCCAGTTATATACCTTAGCACTTAAAGTATAAAACAATTTATCTAATTTTAAAAATGTCTGCACATATTTATTTAAGTATTTGCATATTATATTACACAGTAATATTTCATTGATGTTATTTACTAAACAATTTCAGACTAAATATTTTTGAAACAATCAGGTCTTAATGTAGGAACTAAAATATTGGGTTACATATATTTTTTTCAAGTTGTCTTAAACTCAAATATAAGTTAATAGGTATAATATTTATTTTCAGAATATTTTCAAAATGACAACCTACTTTGAGTACCCATCTGTAGAACTCCAGAATGAACTTAGCAAGATTGCCAATGCCATGGTGGCTGACGGTAAAGGTTTGTTGGCCGCTGATGAGTCTGTGTCAACCATGGGTAAACGTCTTCAAGATATTGGAGTTGAAAATACTGAAGATAATCGCCGTGCCTACAGACAATTGTTATTTACTGCTGATGAACCTTTAAATGATCGTATTTCTGGTGTCATTTTATTCCACGAAACCCTCTACCAAAAAACTGATGATGGTGTACCTTTTGTTGAAATTCTCAAAAACCGTTGCATTATCCCTGGAATTAAAGTTGATATGGGTGTTGTGAACTTATTTGGATCGGAAGGAGAAACTACCACTCAAGGTAAATTTTAAAAGTAATTAATAATAAAAATATTTTAATCTTATTTCAATACAGGATTGGATGATTTGGCTCAACGTTGTGCTCAGTACAAAAAAGATGGATGTCATTTTGCTAAGTGGCGTTCAGTATTAAAGATTGGTAAGAATATTCCTTCATACCAAGCTATTTTGGAAAATGCTAACGTGTTGGCTAGATACGCTTCCATCTGCCAAGCCAACCGAATTGTTCCAATTGTAGAACCTGAGGTATGTTCTAATAGCATTATCTATTTTGTTGAAAATAATGTATTTATGTATGTTTTATATTTCATTTTTATAGGTATTGTGTGATGGAGAACATGATTTGGACCGTTGCCAAAAAGTCACTGAAACTGTGCTGGCTGCAGTATACAAGGCTCTGAATGATCACCATGTGTACCTTGAAGGTACTATTTTGAAGCCTAACATGGTTACTCCTGGCCAATCTGCCTGTAAGAAGGCTACAGCTGACGAAATAGCTAAAGCCACAGTAACTGCTCTTCAACGCACTGTCCCTCCAGCAGTTCCTGGTATTTATTTATTTTTAAATGATTATAAACACATTTTTAATTTTATTATAATTAAATATTATATCATATTATTATTATATTTATTAATTTTTTAGTTTTCTTATTATTTCTTATTATTTATCACTGTTTATTTATTTATGCTTAACAATTTTATTATTTTTTAGGAATTATGTTTTTGTCTGGTGGTCAAACTGAGGAAGAAGCATCCGTAAATTTAAATGCGATTAACAAGTATAATGCTAAGAAACCATGGGCATTGAGCTTCAGTTATGGGCGTGCTCTGCAAGCTTCAGTCTTAAAAGCATGGCAAGGAAAGAAAGAAAATATTAAAACCGCTCAAGATGAACTTCTTAAGAGAGCATTGGTTAGTACAATTATAGTGTTATATTAATTGAATGCATTTAGATTAAATTATAATATTAATTGTTGATTTTTTGTTATTTAGGCGAACAAACTATCAGCTCTGGGCAAATACGAAGCTGGATCCGTACAAACAGCTGCTGGTTCTCAGGGACTATTTGTTAAAGATCATGCCTATTAAGCTACAAACTACATTTTCATAAATATTATAAAATTTATACATTTTTAAGTCAGTTACCAAATTATGAACACTTATTATAGTAACAGCTTTTCTTCATGTTTTTATTTCACTGTTAGAATGTGTCAACATTTAAAATATATATTATATTAAAATACTATTATTTTATTTTGATTTAAATTTTTAGTATACAATATACTGTTAATAACTATTAAATATTAATTTAGAAGAATATAGAAAATGTATTGGTAATTGTGCTATTAAAGTACATAAACTTAAAAAGGACAGTCAGATTTTATATTAGAAGTTGAATCTAAATATGTACACTGTATTTAGAAAATAAAATCTTAGGTCTTATATTTTATCAAATAATTCATATATTATTATAAACAAATTATTTATTTCCAAGGTATTAATTGAGAAATTAGGTCCTTAAATTTGTATTCTGAAGTAACCTTTAAAACAATGGTAAATACAAATAAAACAAATTGTGTTATGGAATACAATTAAAATATTGTAGATGTTAATAATGTAGTTTTTTTTGTAATTTATGTTCCATAATATATTAAATTGTTACTCAACTATATAAGCAACAATCTTAGCACTTGTTATTATAAAAAACACTGACATATTATTGAATCTAAATAAATAAAATACAATTTTATTCATATTTATCTAATATTTTTACAGTACAGCTATTATGTGACCCACCCCGCCCCCAGATTTTGGCTGTTTAATAAGAGTCAGCAAAATCATAATATCCAACTAACATAAAATTAATTTCAATTTCGTAACAAACATTATGGGCATTTGTCAAATAATTTTACATTTTTAAATTTATTTATTTATTAGGTAATCCAATAGTAAAATCTAAAAATAGTCTTAATATTTAGCCCCCTAAATTTTTCTTGGCCGCCTAACCACAAGAGAAAAAAAATTCTTTAAATTTATAATAAAGTACACATTTTTAATGTAAGTTTGTTGAAAATGATATCTAATGTTTAAGTGTGTAAATATTAAATAATATACCTATACCTATGATATTTATTATCAATTAAAATGAAAACCAATAATTATGTGAAAACTTACTATATACAACACAATCTTTACAATAGTGTGTAAGCCCCCTCCTACCCTATACTGAGCCTATGAATGGGAAAAAGACCACGGATTGGGACTTTTTTTGGCCCTACCAAATTTTCAAAGGCCACTAATGGGCCTCTCCAAGATAAAATTCCTGGTGCCGCCACTGCACATAGGTTACTATGTTACTTATATAGACTGATAAGCGATTTAAGTTCAGAATCGTTTTTCGTATACAATAATTTTAACTAAAATTAAACCGGAGTTGCCCGAATACAAGTAGTCGTATTTTATCCCAAGTATAAGTATCCAGATTGCGGCCCTTCCAAACACACATTAGTTCACAAAATATATATAATTAATAAAATTAAGCATTTTGTATTAGACATATTTGTAGATACAACTCAAATACAACGTCTCGTTTATGATAATTATCATAAATATATGAATAAACATACAAGTATTTCTTACAAGACTATAAATAGTATATAATATATATTTAGTCTTAACATTTTATTTTTTTGTTTTTTATCTTTAATGGACCGTAAATTACTACGCCGAATATTGGTGACCGTGGAAATTGTGAATACTATAGTTATATATTTATGTCAAAATACGTATCGGGATATTTATTAAGTTTCGATAACCACCGTATAGGTAGTTTCCTACCTAATGTGTACAGGCCGCAATATTGGGATAGGTGAAAAGGTAAAAAGATTACTTTGGACCGCAATCGAGCGACACCCAAATTAACACATCCATTACAGAGACCCACTAGACGTACAACAGGTGTACGGAGGCACCTACTCACTTTTTTAATTCCTTCTTCAACACCAATATATTTTTTAGATGTCCTAATTCGATACATGAAATAGAATTTTGGATTAGTAGTTTATTAGGTAATAAAGTAGCTTGTAGGTACCTATTAAAAGTTTAGATGAGTGGAATGGATTGGAAAAATGTTGGTCGGCCTACTCCGTTCATCGAAACTTTAAATACTTGTAATTTATAATTTATAACTAATAAACCTCTAGTACGAAATGATTATTAAATATTTCGTAAAATAATATTTTACTTTCGTGCAATTAAAATTGTTTTTTTTTTTATTAATCTAAACAAAACATCGACGACAACGGCCATTACTCATTAGTTGTTATATTATTTACAATTATTTTTTTTCTTATGTATATTCTTAATTATAATATTTAATACAAATGTTAGTTAATTATGAAAAATGAAAATCAAATCGAACAATTCGAATTTTATATTGATATATCATATTATATAGATAATTGTTTTTTTCGTAAAGATAGCCTACATCATTGCGAGATGCTGTTACGCCGGCGCCGCTCGTAAGGCTATTGTTATTTGTTATACACATTTGACATTTCTACTACTTTTTTTCTTACGATACAGTTGCTCGCGAACGTAGTAACACTTATCAGCTATCGTAAAAGATGTTGTCTATAATGTCTTCATTAATTAATATATTTATTAATCATAGGTAGGTATAATGTTAATAAATGATTAGATTATTGGCCAAATTATTATGCTATTTCTAGTATTCCTGGTTACTTAAGTGATGAATAACTTCGTTGAATTTTCCATGAGATATATTTACTATCAATTTTTATTTTGTCGATTAAAATTAATATAATTGTTTACTAGTTTATATAACATATTATAATAGGTATAGATACCTAATACTGAAAATCAAATCAATTAACAAAATGTCATTGCCGGATATTTCTTTGAACGCACCAGATTTAAATCGTTTACATCCTATAATTACACTCACAAGACCTATTCAAGACGGAGTGTTGAATCGTAGTACACTGATTAAAGGACTGACTAATATGATAAGACACGGGGAGATTGAGAATTACTTTTGTTTTACTGAACTTGCTTTAGATAATTTGGTAAAATAATTATTTGATTTCAACTTGATACCTATATTACGCATAATATTTGTCTACTGGCGCGACCAGAATTTTTCGGCTGCATACCTACTATACTTGTGTCCCAAAAAAGGTGGGTATTTTGAGAGTAGTAAATTAAATTTTAATGTGTTACCTATAATTTAATGTGTTGACGTGTTGTGTTTATTTAGGTACATCATTTGTATTAATTTAAATGTGTGGTGAATGTAATTTATTCAATGGAATAATTATGTAATTAATCTATTCTGTATAATGTATAATTTATATGCTATTAAAAACTGGAATACAACTAGACTGAAACTAGAACTGTCTAAAAATAAATTATATCGGTACTCCTAGATGAAATATGACCCTATGGCTACCTATGATTGTATGATCCCGTTCAAACCTTTTTTAGGGGGACACAACTCGTCGACTAATAATAATCTCGGACGCAAATAGTATGCACCAAATTTTTCTGGGTATTAGTGGGTCCATTAAGAACCGTTTATACTTCGTTTGTTGCAGTGTTGAAAGTTCCAAAAAGTTGAAGTTGTATTATCATAATTTATTATAATTCATAAGTCAAATTATCGCAAAATCGTTAGGTATTTATCAATATAATATCCTAGATTAATAAATATACTTAAAAATCACATGGTTTTTAGGGGGGAGGAAGCGGGTTGGGCAAGGGGACCATACCCATTTGTTGTGCCACTGTTTGTGTCTACGCCCTCACACACTGGGTAATTACTAATTAGTACCTATTTACTATTACAATGTACCATGAATGTTTTTAGAATTTAGAAAACATCGACATCGTCGGTGATTATATATCTTTAAAAAAGTTGGAGGTACGTCATAATGTCATACAAGATTTGAGCGCTTTAAATAGTCTAAACGAGTTGGAGTACTTAGATGTGTCTCACAATTGTTTGAAACGAATATTAAACTTCAAACCACCGAAGATGCTATACCATGTCGATTACTCGAACAACAATATCGAACATTTGGACGATTTGTCTCATTTTTGGAGTTTAGCATATTTAGATCTATCGTACAATTCCATCGAACACGTAAACGGGCTATTGGAATTAAAGTAAGAAACGCTTATGCGCAGTAAATAAAAATCAATACTATGCATAGGTGCCGTCAAACTGGTAAGCTTGGAGCTAAAATAATATACCTATTTACTCTTAGTATTAAGATTTGGGAAAAACGGATTTTATTTATTGTGCATTAACTCTTATTATCATCAATAATATTATAAAATAATCTTAGCCCCAATTGCTTTTGGGATTATTTATCTAAAGTATCTAAGTAGTTAGGTAAGTATATTTTTATTCTGGTTTGTCATTCGATGAAGTACCTACTGGCTACTATAATTGTTACTTTAAACACCTTAATAGTTTTTATTTTGTTATGCGTTATCAGGCAGATTTTAAAATATTTAATTTTTATACATTACCTATTATTATATATTATATTATTTCATATAATATATGAAAGTAATTACTAATTAATATCCAGGTTTTTGTTACCTATACTTGGTAAACTAATTTAAATATAATATATTAATTAATATTTCTTGATTTATAATTAGATTTTAAAACTTCTACAAGTGACCTAGTTTGGCGGTATTTCACTATTTCAGTATTGTATTCTCCATAGTAGGTACCTATAGTACCACCTACTAGGTACTAATCATTTTACTGATATTGATAGTTGGTACCTATTTATTTATATAGTCATTTGGCATTTCTAAATTTGTCTCACAATGGTATTAAACATATAAATTATTCACTACCAAGATCGTTAATGGAAATCAACTTGTCTTACAACGATTTAGAATCTATACACTTAGACATGTCCTCAAGTATGTGTGAAATACTCGACTTGTCACATAACAAACTAAAATTGCTTGATTTCCTAAAAGTAAGTAATCAACTAGCTTTTAAATATTCTAGTACATAAATTCCTATAAAGTAAATTGGCTAATAAGTAACATATGTATATGTATATTTATTTAAAATGTAAATGCATAATTGTTTCAATTGAATCTACCTACAATTTCAAACTAGTAATAATCATTATACACAAAAAGTGTTTAAAAAGTTAAAATCTGCCATGAAAATTGTATTAAAGAGTATTATACAACGTTTTAGTAATATCAACAAATAATTGTAGTACATTATAGCATATTAAAAAAAAAAAATAAAAGTATTGTATACTCTGTTCGCCGAGAAACCAGGACTGATGAGAAATAGGAACTGACCATAATAATTACCTACTTATGTTTTAAAAATAAATTATAGAACGCCAAACAGTTGTCAGTATTGAATTTACAAACCAATATGATCAATGATGTACTTCAAGTAGAATATATAAAAACGCTTACAAAGCTTCGACTCTTAAATGTCGAAAACAACGATTTTCTCAAAATAAATATTCATAAGCAATTGATATTTTCAAACAATTTGCCTTTGAGATCAACGGTTGACCAGACATTTATAAAAATTGATGACCTGCAGGTAAACATGTTTATACATATAATATTATATTTTTAACTGTTACATATTTATTTCGATACGCGTTTGGGTGTTCGTCAGCAGCTGTAGCCTGTAATGATATATTTACACCTTACAAGCTTAATAATATGTATATTGAATATCTTAATAAATAATAATATGCTTTAGGTTCACAGCATTTTTTTAAACATGATTCATTGTTCTTTTTATTTTAGTTGTTTTTGAATGTGATTACTAATTAATATTTATTAGGTAAATTATTATCTTGTGATTTGTTTGAATACTTATACAACATCATTTTCTCATCGGACAACAGTATTATTTAACAATGAGACATAAGTATATTATGTTATTGTTTATACTTAATGTTTCTATAACTTTTGTTACAAAGTCCTTAATTTCTATTTTTTTCTTTAATCTAAATGTTTTTCTTTCAATGGTACAAATATTCCCGTACACCTATTTACTTATTTTCTTGCTTAGTATAGCAATAATTTAGCATCAATATTAAATAATTTAATCACAAAACAGACAACAATGCTACAATTTCATTCACAATGTTTTTCCTATTATTATGAAAACTTTAATATTTATAATTGTATTATTCATTTGTAAGTATTGTGGAGGATTTAGGGACAAATCAATGGTCAGGGAGGCTATGTGTTAAGATTGTAAGATTGGATGTGTTGTAGTGACAGCATTTGTTTTTCTTATGTATTTACCGTGAAGATTAGATATATATTTACCTAGTGGCTACGACTGGCTAGTATAGAGTACAGACCACAGTACATACCTAGTACCTACTATACAGTTGTCTCTTGTCAGTAGAGTCAGAACTCGTTTAGTTATGTCGTTATGTCGTGACAGTGGTCGCACTGACTATGACGTCTGTCATTTTTTTTTTTAGTTATAATATTACAGCTCAACAATTATACATACAACATAACTTATTTTACAGCAAACTAGTAAACTAGAAAAATACAAAACATTTTAAATACATAAATTATAAAATTATATGATAAAACCAGCTTCCAAGATAAAATTAATGATTATATTGACGACGTTTTCAGACTTGGTGTTGAAACTGTAGGAAAGATTGAGGGAAATATTGATGGATTTTAGGGAATTAAACAAAATCACGCGTTTCGCGTGGAGAGAAGAGCAATCGAAGAGAAGGTGAGGGATATTGCAATCACTTTCGTTGGAATGTAGGGTACAGAGTGGAGAGTTGTTTACCCCTAATTTATAAGCGTGGACAGGTAATAATGTGTGACCTGTACGTAGGCGATTGAATCGTATAATTGTTGATCTTGGTAAATTAAGTTTGTTGAACCATGTTTTATTCAGAATATTTGGTATAATGTTTTTGTATTTTTTGATAAATTCGGCTGGGAGGTTGGACCAGTATGTGGACCAAAGGTTGGATATATAATGCTGTAAAATTGGAAAAAAATCGGTACGAGGAAGTTGAGTGAGAGCGGGTCAGATTAAATTGGACGTGGATTTCGCCAGATTGTCGGCGACCTCGCGCGTTCCCGTGTATACCGATGTGGCTTGGAACCCAAAGAAATTGGATAATATAATTTACTTGATGTTAAAAGGATTAGATATTAGTGATTGTAGACATTTCATTGAATCAGAAGTAATTAAGAATTTATTAGAGGTAAGATTTGAATTGAGTGATAAAGCTTCAAGGATAGCTAGCATAGTACTCAGCAGTGAAGATGAAGAAGAGGGTCTGTCAATTTATTTATTTATTTTATTTATTAAATAAGCCCAAGATGAGTAAATCTTGTCCCATAATGTAATTTTGTATTGATACGTGTTAATAAAGGGTTTAATTTTTGAATTTTAGTATAATTAACACATGTAACGGCCACAGTTAAGGAAACAAATCAAAATCATTCACCGGAATAATAAAAAAAAACTAACTTTAATGATGGATCTATTTGTAATAATGTTTTCATTATTCCCATATTATACTATTGGAGATTTTGATAGATACAAATTTAAATCAGTACTTACATATATTTTTATATGACAAAATTCCAATTTTTATTCCCCGTCGAAATAAAATAGACTCATCTTTACAATCAATATGATTTATTAATTTATTATACACAGATTATGTAGGTAGGTACCTACTTATGATTTAAATAATATGCGTTCTGTTCAAATTTATTCAAATAGGAGTTAAATGAAATGGAAATATTTTCATTGCTTATGGCAGAAAAGAGTGCATTAAAATCTACTGTTTTAGAACATTTATCTGCAGGAAGATCCCCTATAGGCGCAGGAAATAACTGTGGATACAAAGACCGATTACTTCCGATGGTAATTTTAGTCGGTCCACCAAAAACTCACAAGAAAGAACTTTTAAATACGATATTTGAGAAACATGCTGATAAATTGTATCCCGCAGTTATTTATACAACGAACGATTTAAGTAAAAATAGAACATTAAAAACAATTACAGTCGCTGAGTTCAATGAAATGAATTCTTCCGGAGAATTTGTGTTTAGCTACCAATTTTTAGGCCATTCTTATGGATTAAGTTAGTAATTACGTAATACTTGTACAGATATTATTACTGTACCTACGTATACTTACTAATTTAATAAGTACTGTAGACAAAGATCAACTATCGAAATGTACTGGCGAAAATAAAGTATTAATCACGTTCACAAATTTAGAAGGCGCTTTAATTTTAAAAAATAAAGGCTACAATCCAACATTCGTGTTGCTATTACCAGAAGACAAGTTATCATACAAAAAATGTATATACGATAGTATAGAAAAATACTATATGAATCAAAACCGTTCAATAAATGAAAATGTAAAATAAGAAATAACTAAAACATTTACTTACCTACAGTTTTATTAAACTATAATATTGTAACTTTGATTTGTGTGTTTAGCAGAAGTCAACACTAAATAAAGGAATAGATGTGCAATATTTCGATGAAACGGATAATAACAGTAGTAGTAGGTACATCCAGTAAAATTTCCGATGAAAAATACGGATCATTGTTTATTTGATTATAAATACTTATAATAAATAATAATCAATTATAATCGATGCTTTGATTTACAGTTATTATTAGTACTATTTAAACTAGAAACTTAGTTAAAAACTCCAAGTTATAACTATTATAAGTTATAACTCCATTTCAGCACAAACTCTGATAGTTTCTCGATACAATCATACACTGCTGCTGCAGTTTGTTCACTGAAAACTAACACGATTGCTGCTGAAGAAAGTAAAACAATTGGATACAGAAATAGTGATATTAAACACGATTTCAACAATCCAGTTTTGAATGATCCTTGTACAATATTTACTAATGAATGTATGAACAGTCTTAACATATATCAAAACCTTTATGAAAAAAGCGTAGACGTATTTCATTCTTTGGTAAGTTTACATCTATAAATACTAATCGGTCTTCACTGTATGTAATATTATAGTATTATTAGTAATTAGTATATAGATTACTGAATACTAGCTGGAACTGGAAGGTATACTGAACCCTGAATGTTTATCGATGGACATTATAAATATTCTAAAAAATTGTTAACGATTTTGAAATTATTTTTTTTACTTAATTCTAAAAAAATTATTAAATTAAAGTTTAATTTTGCAAGACCACATTTTTGATTTATATTTATTATTTTTACTATTTTCTTGATTATAATTAGTGTTTTCTGTTGTGTAAGACGACGTATTTCTCAATTTCATATTCCGAAGTGCAATATAATTAGTGATTACATAGGTACTTCGAATAATATATTGTTTCAGAATATGAACTAAAATTATGTTTCATCATAGGCAACAGAAAAAAATGTAAAAAAGCGGGTGAGTGGGTAACTACGTTCTGATGTACTTTAGGTGTCTAAAAAGTCAATGTAATGGAAAATTCGAATTCAATGAAACAAATTCGTTGTATATGAAAAATAAAACTGAAAGAAGACGGTCTGTTAGATTTAATATTTTTCAAGCATCACTGTTAATTTAAGAATAATATTAATTCAACTTACAGGCTACTGTATTAATAAAAAGTAATTACAATATTAAATATCTGAGACTGACATACCATCTCCGCTCAGAATCGTTTTTCGTATACAATGATTTGATATCATTGAATTCAAATTTAATTCCATCCATTACAGCGATCTTCTAGAATCTAGACACCTAATGTACAGCTGAGCGACATCCACTTCCCCGCTTTTTTTTGTTTTTTCCTGGGCTTTTGAAAACTAGATTCACTTTAACAGTAAACAAGATACTGAAGTTAAAAATCGAAGCATTACTTCGACTATAGCTACTTATCGTGTAGACAGATGAAGACACACACAACAAAATAAAAATAAACATCATTGTAAAATCTTAAATAAAAAAAATAAAATATAAATACATTTGTCGCTTTACTCAGAATCTTTAATGTAATACATTGTAAAATAATAAGTTATACGATAAATGAATCACTCATTGTATATTTAAATACTACTGCGATTTATGAGGCAAAATTTTGTTTTTAGGTTTATATAGATAACTTTCAAAATGCATCAAGAGAAGTAATTACGATTATGATTGACGTTTATAATAAATACCAAACTAATCAAAAGACAAAAATACAAAAACAACCAAATAAACATACGCTTGAGCATTTACAAGTTCGTAAAAAAATTTTATGTAATGAACTTTGCCAATGAAAATATTACCAAATATGTTGTACCTACTGTTGTAATAATAATAATGACATAATGTCGTGTACTGCATTTATTCAACAACACAACATTAAACCATGTTATGATTAAATTGAAAATATATTTATATAACTATACACCTGTTTACTGCTACCTTTATAAATCTATATAATAGGTGCTTCATGAATCATTTAATAATACAACCAAATATATTTTAGGAACGCCTATATAAACTAGGGTACTAGTTGCTACATTATTTTTATTTTATTTTATAGTACAGGAAATAATTATATAGGTAGTACAATGTTGTTTTAATTCGTATAGTATTTTTGGCACGAATAAAATTTGTTTATGCATCAAAAATTAACCGCAGGCATTAGATATCATTTTTAAGCATTTTAAAAACAAGTTTTTAAGTGGACTACCGAACCCCAAAATATGAAAACATATAATTTACTTAGGTGGGTTAAACTATACTGTATAGTATAGTATTAGTGGGCAGAAATCAGAATAATGGCTTTGTTATTATTATTGTTGAGCCATAAGGGGTAATATTCTTGACTGGACCTTATGATTTAAGACACAATTGTTTTATTCTGACTATGCATTGCCAGTGTGCAGTTTTTCTATAAACCACAAATATTTTATTTTTCATAGAACAGTAAAGCAATTTCAGTCGCTTTGAAATGATTTTACTTTACTACTTACCTACTAGTGTGGCGGTCGGTCTAATTTACAATTATTGACTGCATTCTTAGTACAATAAAATTCTAAGTTCAATAATTTGTTTTTTTCTTAACCAATTTTGCGAAAAATTCTGGTTTAATAATATTAAAATGATAATTATAAGGGTTGTCCCATATCAATGTATATTTTATCCGTGCCTAAAATTTAGATTCAGAAAAAAATGGAGACACGCTTCAGACAATTAATGGATTTTTGAAAAAGTAATAATTGTAAAACAATAATATGTAAATAATTGAAAATAAGACCATCTTATTTTTTTGTTATCTGTGTGATAATAATGTCATGTATTTCTACTTTGAACGTGTTCAATATAAATTAACAATTTTTTTGGCGACACACCGGTAGAGAACCACTACCCTATGCATTTTGATAGCCGGAGGCTTGACATTTTTCAATGAAAATTTGCAAACTATTTTGTAGTTAAAAATGTATAATGTTAAATTTTTTTTAGATTTTTTAGAATTTTTTTTTTAGCTAAGAATTTACAATTTTAAGCAAACTTTTTCATTAATATTCCGTACTGTAACCGAAAAATTCTAAAAAATTTATAAACATGAGTTTTTTAAATATATATTTTAAGCTCAAATTTAGACGAAATAAGACATTGAAATGGGAAAATTAGAGGGTATAACAATCCTGCGCAATTTTGCCCAATGGGCAAATGGCTGCCGACTTCAGTATTATTATCCTGTAGTCCAGATGGTTCCCAACCCATGGGCCGTGGCCCACTTGTGGGTCTCGAGCAGCGTGGTACCACAGTGATACTGGGCCGTGAACCATATAAATATATAATATTTAATATTATATATTATATATATATATATTTAAAATAATATTAGTATATATTTTTAGTAAATACATTATAATATTTCTGGTTATAATAATATTTATCATTATTATCTACACTCAGTAGTCAGTGTCCAATTAGTGTATAATTAACGCTAAAATAGGAATTGACTGAATGTTGAAAGTTTTAATTCTAAAACCAACCAGTTTTCAACCCGATATTGACTTTCTCATGAAGGACAATAGTATATATAAATATTATAATCATGATTACCTACCTTAAAAAAAATCTTAAAAATTTTAAATTCGTATTTATTTGTTTAATAATTAACAGGCGAGAAATCAATTGTTGACTGTTGTACTCATAAAATGGCATGTCATATAAAAACCAACAGTAAAACAAAATTAAATTAAAAAAATTGTATTTTATTATAACTTAACTTTTTTTTTAAAACAAATCAAATATATAACATTATAGCGTGACTATGAAATATATAATCATAAAAAAATCATAAAATAAAATATTTCCATTTATTTTATAAAAAACAGTTGATAAACGTAAAAAGTATAAAAATTAAAAAATTAAAAATTAAATAAAATTGAGTTATTTCTGAATATTAACTATAAAAAATTCAAAAATAATCAAAGTTAGCCTTTTAAAATAGGACTGATTATCTAATAATCTTTATTCTATACAAACAGTCAATTATGGAAATATAGTTATACAAAAAATAAATAAATAGGTACATTTCCTTTTATGTAAAACAATTAACCATTGTAGATTTACCTATTATATAAAAACAACTAATAGAATCAATGATGTTATTTACATCATGATGTATATCATCAATGTACATCATTTACATCTACACAATTCTATAAAATTATATTTAAAGACGTAGCACTAGTCACTACGGTATGCGGCCATGCGGGGCAGTGCTGATTTTGAGGAGTACTAGACGTTTGTTTGTCTGTGTTTGTTTTTAATAATAAAAGGTAATTCAGATGGTTGTGGATTATTATATTTTTTGGCACCTTTCGAAGGAATAAATGAATACGACATCAGATTATCCGTCTGCCCACTCTGCTCCACTGAACTCAATGAACTCTAGTTCAGTTTCTCAGTGGTCAGTCCAAAGGGCAGATATCTTTTCCTCCTATTCTAATAATTTCTATAAATTCTTTTTCTTTTGATATTATCACTTGCAGGCTCTTAACAAAAATCAAGAATGAACTGGTGAGCGATTGGCGACACTGTCAACGTTTGTATACAAAATACGAAGGCATAATATCCATAACAGCAATACAGCATGCTAATA